CCACGGCCCCGCAGCCAATCGGCGCCCGCGCTGGGCCTCCCGGGCCGCGCCGCCGGATCAGCCGCCGCGCCGGGCCAGGGTCTCGGGTTCGAGCGTCTCCAGCCGCTCTCTCGCCCGGCGTCTGGGGTTCCGCAGAGCGACGGCAGACACACTTAGCTTTCTCTTCTTTGGAAGAGGAGGAGAGTCTTGTAACTACTTACTGTTAGCGTTCGTTGAAATGAAATGCTCCCTCTCTGTAAGGAAGTGTTCTCTCTCATTTCGGCCTGGGGAAAGTACTGATTCCTGGCCACGTTTTCAGAGTGCGTTGCCCCAAAAGGAAGATTTGAATGAAGGGTGGGGTGTTGCTCTCTGGTTGAAGCGGTGGCACTTTCCTGAGAAAGTGGGCCGGGGAGACAGGAATAAAGGAAAGAGGAGCTGTCTTTAATGAAGAAGGTTGCTGAAAAATTTGTACAACGGGAGGGTGGAGTGCAGGAAGAACCCCTTCGTCTCAGACCTCAGCCTTTGTCATCCTCGGCTGCCTGCATCCTCAGGTGAATAGTGGCCTCCCAGCCCTGCACGTGGGGAATAGAACTTCTCAGTCACAATACCGGAGGAGTGACTTATCTGGAGAGTAATTTTTATTTTTTAAGCTTATGTATTTCTTCCATGAGAGAGATGCAGCACCCCCCAAAAGGCTCTTCACACATCCATTTTCCCCCAGCCTCAGCCAGCCCTGTTCACCGGGCACACACTTGGCTTATTCTCAGGGAGGTCCCTGGTCTGGAACCTAAAACCTTCCCATGTGGGTCAGCCTAGCAGGTTGTGTTTTACTGTTGTGCCACTGTCCATCCCACTGTTGTCTTAAAGGGTCTAGTAAGTTTGTGAATTACATTGTCTAAGGAAAATCACTCCATAATTGACATAGCCTTCTATGATTTTTAGAAGGTGGGTAAGTGGAAGTGACTGAAAAACTCGAAGGCTCACTGGAGTGACAATTAGGAACCCTTCCTCTGGTCCCTAATACTGGTTGTAAAATGAAGGATGTCCAGTGCCCCCATACCCAATCATCCTAATACTTCAGCAATAAATCCATAGTTGAACAGATTTCAGGTTATTGATTCACTGCACTCAGGAAGAATTCACATCAAATGAACCATGGAATATCTCATCAAAAAAGGGGAAAAAGATGGAGTTATCCCAGGGCTTTGAGGGAAGTATGGACTTTTTTTTTTTTAGAATTATTTTATTTTTTATTTATTCATTCATTTATTTCATTTTTTTTTTTTAAATTTTGACCAGAGAGGGACAGAATGAGAGAGCAGAAAAGAGAGGGAAAGTGAGAGAGCAAGCCTCCAGGTCCAGGACTTGAACCGTGGTCAGCCATGTGGGAGTCCAGCATCCTTAACCACCACGCCACCTGCCGGCCCTGAGGGAAGTATGGACTTTTGCTATAGGGTGCCTGTGCTCGCCAGACAGACAGAGACAGAGAGATAGAAAGCGAGAAATCACCCCCCCAGGGGGGATGGCCACGCCATAATCCCTTCTCCTCCATTCTCCTCTCAGGATCTTGGGCACGCACACACACACGCCCGGTGTGAGTTTTAAGCCACTGGGTCCGGGACTCGAGCCGCGGTCGACTACGTGGGAGTCCAGTGACATAGCCATTACGCTAACTGCTGGTCCCTGAGGGAAGTATAGACTTTTGCTAAAATTTAAATGAAGTAATGTTTTGTAAGGCCGGAGCCTCCAAGCAATGTAGACCTGCCAGCAAAGGCACCAGCATCAGGTCTGGGCTATGTGCACCTGAGGTCCTCCTTCCTGGACTACTAGGAAGTTCATGTAGATGCAGACTATTGTCTTCAGAAACCTCCTTTGACCACACTGTTGTCTTGGCTTGGAAATCAAGGCAACTTCTCTGTCTAAGCTCTTCCAGGCAAGGGAGGGATGATAGCCCATGAGTTTGGAGAACAAAGTTTCTCAGTGAGAAGAAATTAGTAGTCACTTAAAGGAGGAGGCTGTTGTGACACCCTTTGGATGTGGCAGTTCTCAACAGAAATGCTTTTTCCTGTTCACATTGCAGCTGACTTTGTCTATGTCTGTTGGTCCAGTCGATGAAGAAGGGTATTTTTTTTTGGGGGGGGGGGAGGTTTTTTGCTATAGAGCATGTGCGCTCACCAGAAAGACAGAGAGAGACAGAAAGTGAGAAATCACCCCCCGGGGGTGATGGCCACGCCACAATCCCTTTCCTCCATTTTCCTCTTGGGATCTGGGGCACACATACACATGCACCTGGCGAGCGTATGTGTAAGCCACTGGGTTCGGAACTTGAACCACGGTCAACTACGTGGTAGTCCAGCGACATAGCCATTACACCAACTCCTAGTCCCTGAAGGGTAGATTTTACTTTCTCACTTCTCAGTCCTAAAATCATTCATCTGATTTCTTTTTATCTATATTCTTCTATCCTCTAATTCCAGAAGAAGACAAGTCTCTCCCTCCCCTTAATTTTTTATTTACATCCTAAATTCTTTCCAGCTTCACCCAATACCTCAATCCTGCCAACAGTCACCATCGTACGTCTTTGATTTCTTTCTTTTCTCAGTTTCCCAGAAAAGGAAAGATTTTTTAAAAGGGAAACAAATACACTTAGTCTCCCTGTCTTTAAAACAACAGCAAAACTTAACCGCATGATTGGTTTCTGTTGACTATTAGCTTTCTGTTAAAAATGAGGCAGGACAGTGGTCAAAGTAGTGACAGATGTTAATCACTATTACAGTAGGAGAAAGAGTCCAGAGTGAACTGACCTCAACTCTGATTGATACAGAAGTAATTGGGCCTTTTAAAGAAAGGACAAAAGAATATGGAGGGAGATGAGCCCAGGCTCAGTAGAACCAGGGAAGTGAGAAGAAGAAAGAAGTGCCAGTTGGTTCATGTGTGTTCTATGTGGGCTTTCAAAGCGGGCTAATTGAAGTTATGCTTGTACCATCCCACAGAGGTTGGGGACGGTGATGCTGTCTTCAGGTACTGGCTGGAACAGACGTTAGTCCTCATTAATCTTGAATTTTCTCAAGAGGTCACCTTAAAGGGGACTAAGCTAATCCTAGGAATGTGGTCTTGGACTACTGACACTATGTTAGTGGTTTGTTCAAGTCTTTGTAAGCCAGAGTTGAGGCCTTGTTGAGAAAAAGGCTCAGAGGAGCCTGGCTACCATTGATTAAGGAGAGAATCTTTGCCACTTCTGGCTGCCATTGAGTGAGTAAAGTTAACTAGCAGAGACTGACAGTTCTCTCTAAAGTTAGTAATGGCTACTCAGCTCCAGGCCCTAGGGAGACTGACCTCCACACTGTCAAGTCTTCGTATTTCCCAGAAAAGAATCTTTGTGCTCCCTTGCCCAGAAGTACACATCAAGTCTGAAAGCAGAAGGGTCTTGCAGACACTTCCCTTTTTAGCTTTTGTTTCCATGAAGCCTAAGCTTCTAGAATCTTGTGCAGGTGGAGAGAAGAGGCAAGAATTGAGAGGCAACAAAAGTTGGCTAATGCCTTGAGCTTTACATGTGGTCCTTCCACTCACTTTCTTTCCCTCCCCACACTTAAGAAGTTTCCTGAGTCACCTCTGTTTCCATGCAGTGGTATGTGAAAAAGAAAATATTCCTAAAGTTGTTCCATCACACTATAAGTAATAATAGTATCAGGCAATAAGGGTTAAAGAAGTATTTTCATGGGGAAACAAAATATTGGTTTAAGGAAACCTGCTTATGGATCAGCTCTGTGGTGCATGGGTAATGGGCTTCTTAAACCAGATCCCACGTGGAGACTGCAGTTTGACTCCCTGGCCAGGTCGGCCAGGCATGTGCATGGCTGCCTAGGATCCCATGGGCTAGAGGACTGGAGGAAGGCGAACGCAGTGTGACCAGACCTTGTGAAGGGTGCTCTTCTCTCTGTTTCTTTCTATTTGTTTCTCTCTCCCCCTTGTTCTCATATGTATGCACACGTGTTCTGATATAAATAAGAGAAAATAAAAAAAAATGTTTAATTCCAATATTTCTCCCAAATGTTAAGCCATCGAGAAATAATGATATATTTTTCTATGCAAAATGCATTATGACTTTCCCAACTATTAAAGACTGCCATTATTCGTCATTAGCAGCAAAACAGTAGGTTTCCTTGAGAGTGCAGTTTGAGACTCATTTATATAATGTTTTCTTACCAAACATGAGCATTGCTTTCACTTATACACATTAAGAGGATTAGAGCTACACTGTGGAAGTTAGTCTCCAATGATGGTCCTCCCATGAGCATGTCTCCCTGGATTTGTACAGCCTCTCTCTCTCTCTCTCTCTCTTTTTTCTTTTTTTGGAGAGGTTTTTTGCTATAGGGCGCGTGCACTCGCCAGAAAGACAGAAAATGAGAAATCACCACCTCCCCGCCCCC